GACGACACTTGAGACTGATACCTTAGCCCAAGCAGCCACGATCCATTGGCAGATAGTGGCGTAACTCGCTCGGCGTTGCCTCCCTGTCTTGGTGAATGTGTGTTCGCCTTCTGTCATCCAATGCTCCCACACAGCTCGTAATTTAACTTTGAACGACCTGTTGATACCAATATCTAGTGGTTGGAGTTCTTTGGTTAATCCACCCGGAATGACGGCAAGCTCCGAATTAGTTTGCTTCACTTGGGTTTTGACAGCCTCGGTGAGATGGGCGCGCATGGAGTCGTAGATCAAAAGAGACGGAGATTTGTGGAAAAAGCCATCCGGTCTCTTGACATAAACTTCCCTCAGCCACTCGCTCATTTTCTCTCTCTCGTTCCCTGTGGTGCATATAGATACCGTACTGGTCCCTGTTTTCTCGACAGTACGGTTCACGGGGATGTCAAAGGTGAGAGGGACCTCGTCCATGTTAGTGATGTGTTCTAGCTGGATCTTCTTTTCAGTGATCTTATTCTGGCAGTACGTGCGGAAAATGGCCAACTTTTCTTTGTAATCCTTTGGCAGTTGCTGTGAGACAGTAGTTCTTGTGCGGATTGAGAGATTATGCCTTTTCATAAAACAGAAGCACCAAGAATGTCCCCCTCGAAAGTCGTTGATCTGCATGTCACGTGCTACCGCTGTTGCCTTGAGTCGAATAGAGACTGTAGAGACACTTCTACCTGCTGTTCTCTGTTCAATAACCCACTGTTCAATTTTGTCCTCTAACTGCGGCCATCGCGCCGTGTTCCCTCGGAAACTCCTTTTGGTCTTCTTTACTTGTTTTAGGTCATCTTTTTGCTTCCTCCACTTGCACACCATGGACTCATTAATGCCGAATTGTCTGGCAGCTGCTCTATTTCCATTCTCTTCTGCATAACTAATTGCTCGAAGTTTAAAATCAGCTTCGTAAGCGTGTCTCTTCGCGGGTGCCATTTTGGAGTCGTTATACACACACAACACGGTAATGTTGTGTTGAAGCACAGTACGTATTACTCCGCGAGGCTCCTGGCAACGGTAACCGTAATGCTCCAAAAAGTGGCACTAAAAATCTTTTTTTGACAGATTTTTGAGCATAGTGTTCCAAATAAAACCGGTTCGAGGTCAGTAAGCACAAACCGAAATTCATACATAAGGCGCACCAGATTATAAGGCGCACTGTCGATTTTTGTGAAGATTTAAGGATTTTACGTGCTCCTTATAGTGCGGTAAATACGGTAATACATACATATGTGTTCATTCATAGTTTTGATGCCTTCAGTTAGAATCTAAAATGTAAATAGTCATGATAGTCAAAAACAGAAAAAACATCATATTAAAAGGTGTAGCTCTCTCTTTATGGTTAACAAGACCAGAAAAGGCTCCAAAAAAAGAGTCCTTATCTGCTTAAATGCATTGCAAAATAGCAGAAAATCTATATGAAATAATCTGTATAATAATATATAATACACTTTTATTTTAAAAATGCGCTGCATTCAGAAGCATTTCAACATTAACATTCCCAGAGTAACTGACAGAACATGGCAGCATTTCTAAATGGTAAATGGTCTGTATTTGTATAGCGCTTTACTTAGTCCCTAAGGACCCCAAATCGCTTTACACAACCAGTCATCCACCCATTCACACACGCATTCACACACTGGTGATGGCAAGCTACATTGTAGCCACAGCTGCCCTGGGGCGCACTGACAGAGGCGAGGCTGCCGGACACTGGCGCCA